AAAAAAAAAAAAAAAAAAAGAACCGTATTGTATGCCATGAATTCAGTGGCACAAGTCCACCGATATTTTTTGTGCTCTTCTTTGTACGTTTCTCTTTTTCTTTTTTTTTTTTTTTTCATATATTTTCGTACCTTTGTACGTGGCATTTCGTATTTATAAATCCTCTTCTTCGACTCTTTTCGACTCCTCTCGCGAATATTATTGTAGAAATGTAACACAATTTAAAAGTAGAATCTAAGTCTTCGAGGATTTGGAATAATCGAATTTGAATCTTAAGATTAAGATTAATAATTAATTAACGGCTGATAATCAAAATTCGTAGACGTTGAAGACCATATCATATCTGGCCCTTGTTTACCATGATAATTTATCAACGCAAGAGCATTAAACTGGGCGAATTTGACGAAATTCTCAAACGTTCTTTGCTCATTTTAACTAATCCTAGGATTTAGATAGAAATGAGATATTTCGGAAACTCTTCTGTTTGTTTTTCGGCTTTTTACGGAATATTCCTGATAAAATAAAATTTAAGGCACAAGTTTCTCTAATATTGATAATTTTTACGTTCTACTAACTGAAACTATTGTATTATACTACTATATTTTTAATTAATAAAAAAAATTTGTGGTATTAATCTTTGAAACACGGATTTCCACGTCCTACTATTAATTGAAACTGAAATTAATTAATTATTTATCATTAATTAACTACATATCAACTACGGAATACTTTAAATAAGATTACTTAATTTGAAATGCAAATCCCTGAAATACCGACAGTTTCTACTACCAACTGAAAGGAATGAAAAAACTAGAGCAAAGATCAATAGATCGATAGATCGATAGTGAAGTGAAATTGCGTGCTTCAAATCGTTCCAAAATTGAACTATTTCACCATATATTTGTCGTTTCAATTTTAACTCAATTTTAACTTCTGACAAACCGAAACAATCTTCACTCTAACATCAGAAAATGGAAGACTTTTTCTTATTCGTCTTTTCCTTTTTCTTAACTGTTATATGACTGTTTATATATAATAACTGTTGCATGATCTATTATATTATATATCAGTGTTTACTCCCTTATTTTGTACTTCATTACTGTACTACAGTAATCTCATTCACTAATATCTTCTTCGTTCAAAGAATTTGGGGGACCACCTCCAGGTACAAGGCCCTGTGGAATCCTACTACACGGACACAGATAAAGGGTAAGGACAAGATAATAATAATCGAATATACCTTTACCTAGATTGTCTATCGTAATGCGATTAGTCGACGCATTTCTCGCCAGTTCGACGCCAGGCAAACGGCAAGATTTTTATTAGGCAGAAATTTTGAAACAGGCCAGACCTTTCTGACGTGTTCCAGTTTCTCCTGCCTGTTGTGTTTGTTATTTATTGGGTTATTTATGATTTGAAAAACCATTATTGCCAGGCCATATCCTTGAGAATAGACGTCGCAAAACCGATCGAATTGTTTAACGACG